ACAAAAGATTTTTTTTTTCAAACAAATGCTGTTATTTTGAACTTTCTATTCATCAAAGAATCCTGAAAAGTAAAATGTATCACAGTTTCCACAAAAAATATGAAGCAGAAAAAATGTTCAATATTGAAAATATCAAGAACCATTATCAGTGATTGAGCACTAATAATAATTGATTTCACAGTGAATAAATCGATATTTATTTATATGCATTTATTGTTACATGTTAGTTGAATGAGTTCTGCTAAATAATTACAATTATAAAATGATTCTTTTTATAATTAAAAATGATTTCTTTTGTCTGTCTGTCCGTAGATGCTTACGTCAATCCAGAAGATTTTGGAGCAGGTCTCGGAGATTGACATTGAGACTTTCCTGGTACAGATAGAAACCTTGTTTAATACACACTTTCTCCCTGAGACTGGCTCTTCCTCCTCTCATCTTCATGAAACAGTAACGCAGCCTCAGTTACTGTCATTCATCTCCTCTGAGCCAATCAACAGCAGCCAGGCCACGAATGAGTCTGACAGCCCAGATGAATTGTATACTACAAGACCTGTCAACCACGTTAAAAGCTGTAACGAAGAAGAGGATGCACCTGTTACACAAGCTATCAGTACAGAAACTGTGTAAATAATAACAATAAATCTCAACAACCTCAATGGAAGAACTTAGCATAAAGAAATCTGCTACTGCAGAGAACAAATGTATCATTGTATGTGTAACATTGCATCCATGTAGATTTTTATATTTATAATATAGTTTTCATAAAAAGCGGAGTTTTACCACGAAGCTCTATTTAAAATGAAAGTTTAAACAATCCTCATTTTTTGTAGTGTGATGACATTTTGTAAGTCAGTTTGATCCCAATGTTCAAAAAAAGTTACTCACGGTTCTGTTTGTATCGCGGTTTCAGAGTCACGGTTTCGGTACGATTCGGTATGCGCTATGTTTAGGGAAAAAAGGACTATATTGTCAACTAAAAATAAAGAAAATAAGATTATAACAAATCTAATTACTTCCCCCCCCCCCCCCTTTTTAGCCAGTTGCAAACAGGACAACGCAAGCCTTAAGGAAAGCTGAAGAAAGCCTGTTCTCTGCATTATTAGTTCTCTGAGAGTAGGCTATACTTCCATATTAGTACTAGTTACAACCCAGAATAGCCCTGAATGAATGGCCAGAATTACCCTGCTCATATTCTAACCACCCCCTTGTTTCTTACTTTGTCTAATAATTATTACACAATACTATTATAAACCTACATTTCATGATTATTTATTTTACTTTATAATTTACTTAGACAAATCTAATTACAAGCCACAGAACAAATAAATACAACCGAGCAAATAAAATAAACAGTGCTTTTCAGATTTCTTAGGTAGGTCGAACACAGAAATTGAATAAAGTAATCAAATGTAAAATAACGTTGCATACTTGACTGTATAAATTCAAGATTAATCCTTATTAAGTATTTATTTTACTTTATAATTTACTTAGAATTATTCCACCCTTGATATTACATATTCTACTTGCTATTATTCATCTACTGTTATTCATTTATTTATTTTGGTATTATATACTGTTGTACTCACTTTTTTATATTGTATTGTCAACTAAAAATAAAGAAAATAAGATTATAACAAATCTAATTACAAGCCACAGAACAAATAAATACAACCGAGCAAAGATACAAATAAAATAAACAGTGCTTTTCAGATTTCTTAGGTAGGTCGAACACAGAAATTGAATAAAGTAATCAAATGTAAAATAACGTTGCATACTTGACTGTATAAATTCTTACAACCCAGAATAGCCCTGAATGAATGGCCAGAATTACCCTGCTCATATTCTAACCACCCCCTTGTTTCTTACTTTGTCTAATAATTATTACACAATACTATTATAAACCTACATTTCATGATTATTTATTTTACTTTATAATTTACTTAGAATTATTCCACCCTTGATATTACATATTCTACTTGCTATTATTCATCTACTGTTATTCATTTATTTATTTTGGTATTATATACTGTTGTACTCACTTTTTTATATTGTTCACTTTACTACAACTTGTACTACATATACTTTTTAATATTACATATCACGTTTACTGTGCGCTGTATCAGTGCATAATATTTGACCACTGTAACTGTACGCATAAATTCAAGATTAATCCTTATTAAGGTTACAAAAGCTATTCAATCAAGAGCAGTGAGTAACCTCCATGACTTGTATTTGTTTGAGTAACATTAAGAAAGTGCTGTCACTTTAAGACAATGCTCAACCGACTAGGTCCCGGGACCCCCTAAATTTGGGATCGTATCACACCAAACAATTTTGGGTGCAATGCGCAGTTTGTCCTGTTGGGTGGCAGTAATGGAAAAACAGTATAACATCTAATCTGCGTTCGCTGACTGGCGCAAGCATAGACATAATAAATACCTAGACGCCTCATTGGCCGCTCGACCGCACGTCACCGTCGCCGCCATATTGGTGCGGGCAACTCTCCACAACTCGTAAACATACCCGACTCGTCGGCAGCTTGGGCATCTACAAACCGTCGCACAATAATACAAACATACCTCAGGGTATCATCTTTCACAGGTAAGCCTGAACAGTTGTTTCTGTATGCTTTTTGGTCATTTTTAGCTTTACGTTGACAGCTCAATTAGCCTTTATATAAAATCAAAGTTTAAATGAATTCTTAAGTTTGAACTTTATGTTGTAGTTTATATCATAAAGTAAATTGTGTTATGAGCACAATTTATTATCTTTCACAGGTAAGACTGAACAGGTGTTTGGTCATTTTTAGCTTTATGTTGACAGCTTAATTAGCCACCAGTGTCAGACTTTTAATAGCTAGCGATATCATTAGTAAGCTGTGAAAGCTGAGACTTTATATAAAATCAAAGTTTAAATTAATTCTTAAGTTTTAACTTTATGTTGTAGTTTATATCATAAAGTAAATTGTGTTATGAGCACAATTTGTACAGTGAGAACACTTTGACAAGACAATGCCAGACTGCACGTACCGCAGCAACGGCTCAAAGCGGCCAATGAGGCGTCTAGGTATTTATTATGTCTATGGGCGCAAGAGCCAGAGACAGACACGTTTTTACAGCGCTGCGCATTATAACCAATCACACATGACTCTGTTGCGTTTATGAATGCAATGGCCAATCAGAGACGTTCAGATGAGTCATCGCTGAAACACCGCAGTTTTGTTCAGTGTGCGCGCTCGCTGACTGATTTCTGCTCTCGGCGAAATCTCTCATCAGAAACAACAAAAAAGATATTAACTTCACAGTGTAAACAGCTTCAGTGATTATAATGGGAGTTTTTGAGAGTGCTTGAACTCTGGCTAGACTGAAGTCAATGAAAATCTTCTCTGATAAATGTGCTTTGCTCTCTTTCTGTACAATGAAAGTGTTATAATTAGTAACTTACAACGCTTTTATTAAATTCACGTTAAATACAAAATCAGTCGTATTACAATATTTTATGGCATGACACCCATATCTGGCACTTCAGTAAAAAGACGGGTTTTTATGCGTAGCTTACACTAGTATTAGGCTTTTGCCCATTATGATCAGCTAACATAATCTATAAAGGTGCAAAATGCATTTACTTACATATTTGAGAATCGAGATGTTTCATGATATAGTTAACACGTTTGGGAAAATTTCGAATAAAAAGGGGGAAAAAATAAATAAAACATATTTATAACCTATAAGTTACAGTGACTGCTGTGTGTCACATGACAAGCATGACGAGAACCCCCCCCCCTTCAATCGTGCCCCCCAAAAAATAATGAGTGCATGACGCCCCTGACACTACAATACAATAGTATTTGACAGATAAATTAAACATGTTGAAACATTCATTTGAGTTGAAATCGTTATAGCTTACTTCTAGAGATTGCAGTGATAAAAGACGTGGTGAAAAATGACTGAAAAAATAATTCTGGAAGTAGGTTAAGAGGAATTGTAAAAGTGTGCCCCCTAAAAGCACAAGTGGCCCCTGCCTGGCCCCCCAATTACTGTGGTCATAATATCATTTGCAGTGTTGGGGGTAGCGCAAGTTACATAATCAGATTACTTTTTTCAAGTAACTAGTAAAGTAACGCATTACTTTTTTAATTTACAAGAGAATATCTGAGTTACTTTTTCAAATAAGTAACGCAAGTTACTTTTTTTTCCCTCCAATGTATTGATTGACAGCTCTCCTGTCCCCATGTCGAGAGAAATCAGAAGATGTTCCTGTAGTTCTAAAATAAATATGAATGTGCATGAATTCATCTCACTCACAAAAAACCAGATTCAGTATTCCTCAAAATGAATAAAAATAATGCAACTCAGAATATGACGCAAACCTGCAATAATTAAATGTTAAACAACACAAATATCCTTTATGTATTAAATCCCATTCTATTAACAATGTCTTTGCTTCTGACCTTCGATGATCCAGTTCAACCATAAGCACAAATTACTCTAGACGAACATTTGTGTGTCTTTTTCATTGCTGAAGTGTGTTGAAATGTCTTCTGCATTCTACAGTACGGACGTAAAGTTACTTTCCCTTCAGCCTGAGGCGCATTCATTTCACTTTTGGTGTGAAAAGGCTTTTATATTTGGCCAAAAAATTACTTTTTTATTATAAAAAAAACAAACAAGCAAGCCCTGTCTAGATTTAAATAAAAAGTAACTAAGTACCGCGATTAGTTACTTTTTTTATGGAGTAACGCAATATCGTAATGCATTACTTTTAAAAGTAACTTTCCCCAACACTGATCACTTGCATATAAACACCTGTTCAGTTTTGGGTTTTACACTAGACGTCAAGATCTGAACAGACACGATAAGTTTGACTAAAATGCAGAATTAAAAATATCGGTGGTAACTGTGTATTCTCTACTAAAAGCGGGTAAAAATGACCAGAAAACGATGGAATGATTAATAAAAGGTATCGTGTGGTGTTGTGTCATGTGACCGACGGACGGAACCATGGGGAAGTGTCGCCGTTCGCAGGGGGAGAGATTTAACTGTCGCACTGAAGTACGCGGAGGAGAGTTTCGAGGGCATCTTTACAATCAAGAACTTCTCAAAACAGACAGATACACTTTTGAAATCATTAGTGTGTATAATTAAGCGGTTGTAGCAATGAAAGTCTAACAGCACTGACTGTTTTAGCGGTCTGGTTAAAGTGTAATGCCACCTGCTACATGTAGACTTTGCTTTAAGACAGTGACATTAGTTTGTGAATTTAAAATGCATAATGTGCCCATGTAACCTACAAACTGTGACTTCGTTTATCATTATAATTATTACGCAAACGAGGGTATGAAGTTGAATGTTCAGTGTGTTTTATAATGACAATGGAGCAGATTTGTATTCGCCTGGTCAAAGTTGATATGCTGTCCCCCGTAAGAGCACTAAACCGCTTCCCTTCAGTGATCAGATGCTGTGCCTCTGCTCGGACTGATCTCATGAGGACAAACTCATCTTCCTCTCTGAAATCAAGAGGATCTGTCACTGCTGCTGCTTCATCTCTCTGTCTGAGATCAAGATCAGGACTTAACACCTGCATAACTGCATTCAGACCTCCAGCTGAACGGGTGCCGTTGATCATTCAGCCCACGCGCGAGTTTCACACCTCCGGCAGACTGAGAGCTTTACCTGCACCCTTGATATGGATGGTGCTGAAGCCTCTACAGAAGCTTATAGCCATCATACTGGGCAGGTGAGGTTTTACTTCACCCCCCAACCCATCAGCCTGTGTCAAGAACACATAAAACTGGTGAATCAGTGGAAAGCTCTAGGTCAGGGTTGCTCAAATCTTGTCCTGGAGGGCCAATGCGCTGCAGAGTTTAGCTCCAACCCTCATCAAACTTACTTGACTGTGATTTTCTAATGATCCTGAAGACATTGATTAGCATGCTCAGGTGTGTTTGATTAGGGTTAGAGCTAAACTCTGGGAAGTGGATCTGGTGGGCCAGATTTGAGGATCCCTGGTCTAGGTTATTAACTAGCAAGAGTGATGACCGATGCTGCTGCCCATGATATGGCACACTAAATGGCCAAAAAACAGTTGCCATTTGGATTTAAATAAGCAAATAGTGGAGAGTCTAGGATTGGATAATTAGTGCAGAGATGAATGTTTCTGGCATGTTATATGTTTTGCAACGACTCTTTCAATCCTAACTGATGCATTGTGTATCTTTTCATTTCTTAACTTTGAAAGACGTACCCATGTGCGTATTTCAGGATGACAGTGTCACCCAAATTGTGAAATAGTGATTTAGGGATCATGAGGAATCATTTTCATGTATAAACTGGCCACCACAGAGTCCTGAGCTTAAGTTGCTTAACCCTATTGAAAGTCTTTAGGATGTGCTGGAGTCGACTTTACAGAGTGGTTCGACTCTCCCATTGATGGAAATAAATGTTGTGATGTTGCGTAACATTGTGAAAACAATGCCACAGTGAATGCACAATTTAATCAAAGTGCTCAGAAATATTAGAGTGTCTAATATTGGGCAGCCGGTGTATTTTTATGCAAAATGGTGAATAGGATGGCCAATATTTTAAATCTGTACAACTTTTTAACATACAATTCATCAGATAACTACATCTAAATAGGCCTATATTCTTTGTAGATACATATTTAGTCAGAATGTTATTATTTTTGTTATGGCCAGTGATGGATATAGTGGCCAATATTTTAAATCAATTCCGTTTTTTTTCCTACCCCTAATCATTAGCTGATTTCTTTAAAAAACAAAGTTAACAATAGTGAACGTGTACATTTCAGGCATTTATAGTCCAGAACAGTTTACAAAAATGTTTTATCTTCACATAACCTGCAGGAAGTCCACCAAATGTTCTGCAGGTTATGTGAAAAGCAGAAATCTACCAAAATCCTTGGCTTATACTGTCTCCGTGTACTACTACATTATTACTGTGGTTAGTTAATGGGGTGCATATGGCAGGTCATGGCACCAAAGTTCTTGGTTTTCTGTGAGGGGGAGCTAAGGTTTAATGATAAAAATTCAGATTTTATGTGCATCTCTCTCTTTGTCTCTAGGAGCATCAGAAAATGGTGGTTGGCCCTGCCGCCCAATAAAAAGCAGCTGTTTCGTGAATGGACGTGGCGTCGACGTTGGCACTTTGTGGGAGCAGGGGCAGGACTGCTGTTCTTCGTCTCCCTCTTTTTACTCACTCACCTGGATGAATCTCCAGTTACAGGCAGGACCCGACTGCTGGTGTTCAGCAGGGAGAACTTCATGGAACTGGCTCAGGTCACTGCGGAAGCGGTACGACCTCAGTTGTGCAGTTGGTCATGTCCACACAACTTGTTTAGTTGGTTTACGGTTATTTTTTTGGTTGCAACCAGTTGCAAATAGTTGTATGCCAGTGCCTGGAGCTGGTCCAAAATGATTAGTCTGAATTAAATTTTCCTGTGCTATGGGATATTATGAAAATTAAATGTGGCGTTTTCTTCATGGAACTGGCTCAGGTCACTGCGGAAGCGGTACGACCTCAGTTGTGCAGTTGGTCATGTCCACACAACTTGTTTAGTTGGTTTACGGTTGCAACCAGTTGCAAATAGTTGTATGCCAGTGCCTGGAGCTGGTCCAAAATGATTAGTCTGAATTAAATCTTCCTGTGCTATGGGATATTATGAAAATTAAATGTGGCGTTTCATTTAATTTCAAATCATTTAATAATTTAATTTCATTTAATATCATGGACTGTTGCTCCTCTTTCTCCTTCATTCTCTCTCTCAGTATATGGAGGAGTTTAAGGATTCTCTGATCGCTCCATCGGATCCCAGGCATCAGGTGGTGGAGCAAGCGGTTCGGATTCTGGCCGAGAGAAACCAGGACATTGCTGAGATTTCCTCTGTCCCCTGGACGGTCCATGTGGTGGACGGCCCCACAATCAATGCGTTTGTTTTGCCTGTGAGTCATATCTGGTAACAACCAAAGGCTTTCTCTAATAATAATCCAAATCTATTCATTTTTTTAGTTATTTAAATTTTTAGTTTTGCCAATTTTGAGAAGCAACTCTAACTGCAAAGAAATCGTGTATTTAGAAGACTTGCTTCTTCATTATCCAACATATTGTATGTTGAGCATTATATACATACACAAAAAAAGAGAAAAATACACAATATGAAGTACTTGTACAGCATTTTGAGGAAAAGTAACACTATATTTACTCAATATACACTACTGTTCAAACGTTTAGGGTCAGTAAGTTTTATTTATTTATTTATTTTTAAAGAAATACATATTTATTTAGCAATGAAGAAATAAATTTAATTGAAATTAAACTGATGTGACTGTAAAGACTTTTCTTAAGTTACAAAACAATTTTTTTTCCAAATAAATGCTGTTCTTAAAAAAAAAAAAGTATAACAATTTCAATAAAAATATTAAGCAATACAACTATTTATGACATTGATAATAAGAAGAAATACCAGCATATTATTATGATTTCTGAAAGATCGTGTGACACTAAAGACTAGTAATGGCTGCTGAAAATTCAGCTTTGCCAACACAGAAATAAATTACATTTTAAAATATATTAATATAGAAAATAGCTATTTCTATTTTATTTCTATTTACTAGTAATTACTAATTGTAATAATATTTTACATTTGATCAAATAAATGCAGCCTTTGTGAGCATAATACTTGAACAGTAGTATGCATATGTCCTTATTTCACTGTAGTATGTATATGTATATGTCCCTATTTCATCAAAATCTGTGTAAAAGTCGGGAGGTTTCTTCATTACGTCGATGCACCACCAAAGTGCAAAAGGGAGGGATTTTTTTCTATGACATTCAACCACAGCTGTCACTGTTCTAGACCGTTTGATCTGCCTCTGGATATATAGTGCAATCAGCATCAGTCACATTCTGTGGCGGGAGGGTGAGCACCAACGTGCTTTCGTCATCATGCGTAACCTTAACTTCTGCAGTGATTGTTGGGAACAAACATCCCTCTCTTAATAAGAAATATGAAGTCAGGACTAGTCTGTATGGGCTGAATAAAGCAAACCAGTATCTCACCTGTAAAGTTTAGATGGATGACGATTGTAATGGAGGTAAAGACGATTACAGTGGCATACAGCAATCGTACACAATTAGACACACGAGTCCATAATTAATGTGCAAACAAACAGGCCGTGTATGTGCATATACATATACATACATACATACATACATACATACATACATATACACTACCGGTCAAAAGTTTGGAATTAGTAAGACTTGTTTTTTAAAGAAGTCTCTTATGCTCATGCATTTATTTGATCAAAAATACTGAAAAAAAACGTAATCTTGCAAAATGTTATTACAATATAAAATAATGGTTTCTATTTTAATATCCTTTAAAATATAATTGATTTCTGTGGTGCAAAGCTGCATTTCCATCAGCCATTACTCCAGTATAAAGTGTCACATGATCCTTAAAAAAATCATTCTAATATGCTGATTTATTATTAGAATGATCAATGTTGGCAAAAGTTGTGATGCCAAATATTTTTTTTGGAAACTGTGATACTTTTTTCAGGATTCTTTGATGAATAAAAAGTTAAAAAGAACAGCATTTATTCAAAATATAAATATTTTCTAACAATATAAATCTTTGCTATCACTTCTTAACAATTTAACACATCCTTGCTGAATAAAAGTTCAAATTTATAAAAAAAAAAAAGAAAGAATACAAATTTACTGACCCCAAACTTTTGAACTGTAAAGTATATTGTTAGAAAAGATTTATATTTTAAATAAATGCTCTTCTTTTTATCTTTTTATTCATTAAAGAATCTTGAAAAAAGTATCACAGGTTCCAAAAAATATTAAGCTGCACAACAGTTTCCAGCACTAATAATAAATCAGCATATTAGAATGATTTCTGAAGGATCATGTGAGACTGAAGACTGGAGTAATGATGCTGAAAATTCAGCTTTGTGTATATATATGTCATCATTTACTCACCCTCATGTCGTTTCAAACGTGTATGACTTACTTTCTTTTGTGGAACATAAAAGAAGGTATTTTGAAGACTCTTGGAAACCAAGCTGTTTTGGTTACCAATGACTTTCTTTGTATGAACAAAAAATACTGTTTTGATGTTGAATCAAATAAAATATTTATTTCTAAAGCTACTTTTTGTAATGTCTACTTGATACTTTTCTCATTTAACACAATAATGGCTTAAAATAATTTTTTGTGGGTATTTTTTCACAGCCAAATTTAATTTGCAATTAATTAGAACAATTACTCGCTACATCACGTTATTGATTAGATTTAAAATAATAATAATAAATAATAAAAATATATAGATACTCTGTAATCGAACCCTCATTCTTGAATTTCCTGTTTGTGAAATTACCCAGACAGTTTTGGACAATTTTTTTATTAGACATTTCTTCATACAGTTTAGTACTGTCGTAAAGAGAGAGAAGTGTTCTTAATTCACTGCAGACGATTAAAGAAAATCTTGAGACTGATTACTAAGAGGAGAAAATTATTCTGATTTCACAGCTGGAATGATTGTGTGTGTGTGTGTGTGTGTGTGTGTGTCAGAATGGAAATGTCTTCATCTTCACAGGAATGCTGGAGGCTGTAGCAGACATCCATCAGCTGGTATTTATACTCGGACATGAGATGGCTCACGCTCTGATTGGTCATGCAGTAAGTCCCACCCACACTGTCAAACCGCTGCACAGAAACGCCCGAATGGACATTATTTTTGTCATTTTATCAGAATCTATTTTAACCCAATAATTAATTATGCTAAAAGTAAAGTATCCAAGAGCGTAGTATATATTTCTCTAATCTCTCCCTTAGGGTCATTTGGATTTAAATGTATATGAGTATTACATGGTCGTATTACATGGTCTGCTATCTGCACCCATTGTCAGGGTCCTCACACTGCCTCTAGCCTTCATAGTTTGGATCAAACTAAATTTGTACTTCCTTTGCTGTGTCTTTCAACTTTTTTCTGGAAGTAAAAGACCCTTCATTAGATTCAAGTACTCACTTTATCTCTCTTTTGCATGCCATGTTTTACTTTCATCTCTTCTCTTGGTTTAAATGAAGAGGAGGCGGCGTCCTCTCTCAGAGGCACTAAGCGCTGTTAAGGGTTCGGTTTAAAGAGTTGTTTTAGTTTCAGAGCTGTTGCATCACTGCATGCTTGTGGCTCTGGTTAGGGTGAAGGAGCTTAACACTGATATCAGGACTAATATGACGTGGTTGTGAAAAAATAAAATGATTTAGTAAATTTTTCTGTGACATTAAAAAGTCCCTTTAAAGCCAAGCAACATGCTGTTAGGCTCATGAGTGTTTCCTTTGTTATTTCAAGATCTTCCAGCAGATGCTGGAACAGATTTCAAACCTTTTTAAGTTGGCTTGAGAAAGCCATTTAATTTGCAGCCATGCAAGCCATGATTTACAGTTCAGATACAGGTTTTCACAAAAACAGAAATCTTCTACAACAGCATTTCAGCCTTTAGACCATTTTTATGAAAAGGGATAAATCAAGCATATAAATTGTCAATTTAAAACGTATAAATGTTACTGTCTTAATTGTTTAGATTTTTAGAAGGCACATTAACTTCTTTCTCATTTACAACTCTATGTGTTTGCTGCGTAAAATCATGAGTTGATATTTTGCATTGATCTGACCTTAATCACACAGCAAGGCTTATTGGAAATGCAAATTCATTCTCTGCCACGAGGTGGTGCTTTAGGAGCGCTGAAATATTGCGGTTTCCCCGGTAAAGGCTGTACACAAAGCAGCTCCGCGCTCATAAACGCTGCTTATAGGTAAAATGAAATTAAAATGCCAACGACACGTTTCTGAGGACAGTCAGTTGCCTTCAGATACATTCAAATAAAGACATCCGCGCCGCGTTTTTGACTTGAAATGTGCAGCACTCATATTTATTCAATGACATCATTGCCTTTTGAAGTTTAATCCAGCCGTATCGCGACTCTTGTCTTTCCGTCCCCAACTGTAAGACCTCTTGAAATGATAATTAAAGGGGGTCATATGATGTTGCCAAAAAGAACATTATTTTGTGTATTTGGTGTAATGAAATGTGTTTATGCGGTTTAAGGTTAAAAAAACACATTATTTTCCACATACTGTACATTATTGTTTCTCCTCTATGCCCCGCCTTTCTGAAACGTGTTGATTTTTACAAAGCTCATCGTTCTGAAAAGCGAGGTGTGCTCTGATTGGCCAGCTATCCAGTGCATTTGTGATCGGAGAAATGACAAACAACAAGCGCTACTCTACTGCCCAAAACTTGCGTTTGAATCGTCAGTGGCAAATTCCTTAAATATAAAAAACATACAGTCTGTGAGTCAGAACAGTCGGCATTGTAGTCTACTCTCCCAGGATCAGGAAACAGTCCTCCATAAAATGTGCTGCACACATCTGAATATTTGGGTTGAAGTGTTCTGGAACAGTGTTGTAAATACAACTTAAACACTGATTTCTAGTCGTGTCCTATTTTGGAAGACCAAACAAAGTAGTTTCGCTTTCACAATGAAACACAGCGTCACACACGGCGGCTAGAGCGAGGAACGGCCGGCGGGCTGAGTGAGCGATGGACGGTGGGCTTGCGGCAACCACATGTGATGACCCTGGGCTGGACTCCGCTTCGTCCACGGTGAAAGCCGATC